CCGCCCCCGAGAGCGCGCCCGCCTAGCCCGGCCCTGCTCCAGCGAGTTGGAGGCGGGGCGGATGGGTGGGGCGGTACCAAGGTGGCCCGGGTCCCGATTCGTGGACGCAGGCAGGCGGGTACCGGAGGAACACACTGGCCTTGCCATTGGCTGCGTGGGCCTCGCCTGAAGCCGGCTATTGGCTGCGTGGGCCTCAGCCGGGGTGGCTATTGGGTGCGTGGGGCAGGGAAGATGTCCTCCTCCGGGGCCAGGGAATCTACCCCCACCCTCGACCTAGCGGCGCCGGACCTTCGGAATACGCGGGGCCTTGTTCCTCTTGGAATTCCCCAAGGAGTTCACAGCACTTTGCCGAACTGTCCAAACTGCCAACAACTACTTCCCATTTGTTTCCTCCTAAGGAAGACCTTTTCAGCATCTCCGCAACAGCCTCACACGCGGGCCGCGCCTTCCCAGCCCAGGGGACGACCGCCGTCAGCAGCGTCACTGGAAATGAAGCGCCTAGAGGAACCTGGAACTTGCTCTCGAGATGGAGCCAGTATCTTGCCACCCGGAAAGACGAGGAGGATACTAGGAGCGCGGCACCTTTTGCTTCCCGGGTTCAGCTGGCGCCAGACAGGTGTTCCCAAAAAAGCGCCGGAGGCGTCACCTCATTGGGACCTAACAGGTCCCAGGTCCCCTCCCCGCGCGTAGCTCTGCCTCATATTTGGGACTTTGATTTTCACCATCAAAAAAAAAAAAAAAACCCACCAAAAAACAAGATGACAATAAAATGGGCTTTCCGCCAATGCAGTATTCCACACACCCCGAAGTTCTGGGACAAAAGTTTGTATAGTTAGGATTCTCAGTCTTCCCACTAGAACTTGGTAACAGTACTTTCTGAAGTGACTCTCCGGTCCTTATGCAGGTCTTTGAAAAAGTCTCTTTTGCCAGTTCAGATCACTTTGTAGCCCTATTTTCTGCTGCTGGCCCTGTACTTGCCCCTGCCTCCCTGCTCTCCTTCATTACATTTAGTAACAATCTCAACTCCTAAGAGCCAGCCCCGTGTCCTTCAAGTTAGTATTCTGCAAATACGTAGGAGTAAGCAACAGAAAGACACACAGGGTACGGCCAAAGTAGGTTTACAGTTGTTTGTATGGAAAATAATACAATTAATAAATAATACAAGAACAAACTGTTTCATGTACTCAACTGTAAACCTACTTTGGCCTCGCCCGTATATACTCACCTTTAGAGTTAGAAGATTTTGATCCCTCAGGGTTTAAGCTAGGGCTGGTGGTATATACAGACCTCCTCAACCAGACCATTACAGTGCCCCAATTATTTGTATGTAATGAAGGAAGGGAAAAGTGAAACATTTTAGAAGCTAGCAGCCCTCAGTTTTCAGTGGAGTGGTCATCCTCTCATAATCCAAACAATGAGACTTGTTTGGCTGGAAAGTCAGGAAAGAACTGTCTGTGGGAATTTAGTGCCTGACCCTGAAGGGTTCAATCAATCACTTGGGCATCACTAATCACAGGCTTGGAGTTATGATTGGTGAAGAACTCAGCCACCTTTCTTGTCTCAGACACTCGCTCCCATTGTCAGGAGCCAGGAGCAGAATCAAAGACAGACTTAGGAGAGGGAAAACCCAAGGAAAGGAGAAGAAACTCCTCTGCCCCAGTTCTGGAGCACAGGCTGATGTCTCCGTCTTTTGTGTGGGTTTCAAGCTAAAGCTTTAGAAGATGGAGTGGACTGGGTGGGGGAATGGGAGAGAGCTAGAGGCTGACAATATCAGAAAAGTGAGGGTCCCACCTTTAGCAAGACAATAATCCTCGTAGCTCTAACAGGGACTAGTGCTGAACAGTGGGGATTCATCATGTTGTTCTCATGGTAGAAAGGTTAACCCCGCATAGTTGGTAAAAATCCTGTCTCCCTTTGCATGGCTCAGGCATTAGGAGGACTGACCAGAGGTGCATTTACCCTCTCTAGCTTAGGAAGATAAGTTTCACAGACTACTTCCAAAGCACTGGAGGAGCCCCAGCAATGTGTTAACCTGGCCATAGATTTTTGTAAAATTTGAAAAAAATACTTAAACTGCAATTGAGGCAAAAAAAAGGGGGGGGCAAAGGCCTCAAACTCTACCCCTCCCCTCCTATTTTTTGTCTTGGCTGGAACATTGCAGACATGACCTTCATTGACCAACTGTTCCTCCTCTTCCCCCTCCCCAATTTCCTGTAATTGAGAGGACAAAAAAAAAAAAATCGCTATCTAGAAAAGAGGGTTAAGGACAAGCTGTGTTGGCAGTCACCCCACCAGTGTTTGAGGCAGAGGACCACCCTATCTACCCCTTGCCCACGCTTAGTAAAAACCTTCCACCAAGACCCCATTGGAGCTTCTAGCTCTCCGAGGTCGCCCACTCTCACTTCTCAAGTGCGTACTATCGCTTTAATAAATTTACTATGGTTTGCTAAATCTTTCACATTCTTGAATGCTTTCTTGTTCCTTGACAAAGACCTGGACCCCGGTATCAGGTTGAGGCCTCCCTTAGTTTCCCTGGGTGCCTCCGGGCATCACACTTGGTTAAGACTGATGTTTCTTTCCTTTCTGACTTTCCTTCTATCACACTTTCCATTCTGTCAGGTATAACTGGAAGGGCCTTGGGCATTTGGGGATTGGCTAAGGAAATTGTTTGGGATACACTTAGTTTGGGTTTTGTAGGTATACATCTGTGGTTTGCAATTACTTCTGTGAATAAAAAGTAGGTATAGTGTTATGGGTTGAACTGTGTCCCCCTCCAAAAAAATTTGTAATGTTAGTCCTAACACCCAATACTTCAGAATATGTTTTCAGAGATGAGGTCTATAAAGAGGTAATTAAATTAAAATAGGCCTTTGAGGTGAGTCCTAATCCAAGATGACTGGTGTCTTTATAATAGGAAATTTGAACACAGATATGCACATAGGAAAGACCACATGAAGACATAGAAAGAAAATGGCTATCTATAAGCCAAGGAGAGAGGAACCTCAGAATGCAATCAACCCTCCTGACACCTTGATCTCAGACTTCTAGAACTGTGTATTTCTGTTGTTTAAGCCAGTCTGTAGTAATTTATGGCACCCCTAAAAAATTAATACATATAGCTTCCAATATTACTAATGTCAACAATTCAGAGTATACCAGGTCCTTGAATAATGAGTTGTTTAACGTCATTTTGCTATAATGATGAGGTGCCAAAGGAACTTCCTTGTTTATGTCAATTAGCCTATGGTAAAGTTGGTTTTATTATACCTTGTTCCGCTTAAAGTTGCAGCACCTGTCAACACATTGAGAACTTAATGTATATGACATTGTAAATTTGAAATGCTCCAAAATCTTACACCACACATACCAAAGAAACTTGATAGTTTTTCCCAAGTTTGACAAAAGTCCTAAAAACTATGACATTCTCACTTAGAAGGTGTGGTGAAATATTCCTATTATTAATTTTTAAGTGATCATGCAGAAGACTGAATTACCTTTCTACACTTTATAGAAAACATTAAATATAATCATGAAAATGCTATCAAAGAGCATGCAGCCAAAAACAAAATTGTAGGGGAAAAAATAGGTTTGCCAGGTAGTTTTAAAATTTA